AAGACAAAACGTTCGTGAATTTATTTTTAAAAAACCGACTGTCAACTTGGATAAACAAAACACATTGCAACAATTAGTCGAAACTTCTTCCAGTGGAAAGAACGAGTCAAACAAACGACACTGGTGACTAAAGAAAAAAATATTTATATATAGTGAAATCATAAAGACACATACCTTCCTTGTCCTGGATCTTGGCCTTGACATTTTCGATAGTATCGCTGGGCTCAACCTCAAGGGTGATGGTTTTCCCCGTTAACGTCTTCACGAAGATCTGCATGTTTGCAGGCTGACAGAGAAGAGTGACGTTAGCTAGCTATCGCCGCCATCTCGCTTTGTTAATGTTAGTCTTAAACGAATCCACTATACATGGTACATGGACAAGAAGCCACAATGTCATAAAGTGACCCGCGTTACTCTGCAGAGACTATATTCGGTTAATGCGGTTGTGCTGAGTTAATAAAACAGCTAGTCAGTGTTAGTAGCATAGCCGTGTTAATATGGGGCCTCGCCACATGCGTTCCATTACCGTGGAACTTTAATCATCCATTTTACAGTTTCTAATCCTATTTCAATTCAGTGACAATTGATGTTGTGTAAGTAATATACCACATCCATGATTATTGGTTTAAATGACATTTTTAAACCTAAAGGCTTCAATAAATCGACCAAAAAGGCGCAGAAGAAAACGTGTACGTACCCGGCCGCTAGCTGAGCCACAACGAAAAGAGAGCGGAAAAGGTTGACGCTCAAGTACGTCACATCCGCCCTCACACTATTTCGAAATAAAAGCGGTGTAAAGCAATTTAACGTGATTTTTTTATTTGATAGAACATTCATTTTATGAACTTAGTAATAAATAGATAAACAGATGAATTAATTAATTACTCAATTAATTAGGCAATTTCTACAAGAATATAAATTTAAAAGATCTCTAATCTTCATAACTAAAACATGTTGAGGCATATCTCTCAGGCTTTGAAAAGTTATATATTTATATCTTGGTCAGTATCGAGCTGTGTTGTGTATTTTTTAAATTCTTAGTAAATAAAAAAATACACTCAGGAACTTTTTAAATGATCAGATTGAAAAGTTATGTGTTTAATATTGAGTCCAAAAACAGGCCTCTCTACAAACAACTACACAACAAGTCCTGCAGTCCTGGCAGTGTCTGCTTTATGCAGACACAAGAGAGAACAGGGCATAAACCTTTTATGAGGCTTTCCACGAAATGTGTGTTATCAACGCAAGACAGTGCCCGCCCCTGTTTTTATCATGTCACCCCTCAGTAATTATGTGTGATGCTGAAGGAGATTAGCGAACAAAACAAGCAACAACTTCCCTCAGTAATTATGTGTGATGCTGAAGATTAGCGAACAAAACAAGCAACACCTCGTCATTCAGCCAACCCTGTGTTGGCAAGACCTTAGCTGTTCTGCTTCACTAAAGAGAACTCCCTCCACGAGATATAAGTTTACATTCAATACACAGGAGATGTCTCACACCAGAGGAAACCATGGCTGCGGGACCACTATGAAAGAGGAGCTGTTTTGGTTTGTCAAACTAACACTAATATGACACCAAGGTCTTGAAAACTGCTTTAAAAATGCTGAATATTAGAAATATTCTTGGAAGAGTGATTTATTTCTAATTAGGCCTTAATATGTGTGTTATACGGTATATGTAAGTTTATATTTGAGCATATCAAAATTGTATTAAAATAAACTGCAATATTTATATTTATTGTATATCTTGTTAATAAAACATTGGTTCATTATATAAACAGTATTATCATTGTAGTATATATACATATATTTATACACACTCTTATTTATATATGCGTTTGTGTACTATGTGTATTAAAATATATATATTTTCTAATAAATTAATGTTTAATTGTGTTGTTGTAACAGAAGGTATTTGTTATAGTACTGACATTGACATTTACACTAATTTATATAAACAATAAAACATCCAGAAATGCTTTGTTATGTTTACTCAGAACCACTACTTACGATTTCCTAGAATCTTCCTTGAATCAAAATTCAATGTTTCCTTTACTCAGAAGGGCACCAGAGTCAGCATGTGTGAAATATTGAAGCAATGTGCAAGTGCAGCTTTAGCAGTTATGTGGCTTAAACATAAACCACAGCTCACAGATGGACCATAGCAGGGAAGCAGCCTCGAACTTGACTGTCCTACTTCCACGCTGTTTACACTGTCAATGCTAAACAGCTAAAAAGGAAAGGTCAGTGTACCTTTCACAGAGATAGTCTCATTCCCTCTTTCCAGCATGGCCGACCACAAAACTGTGCAAAAACAGCGGTGTTGTAGCAATAATACAGCCTTGACCCCAAAGATGCAGGTTGTGCTGATTAAAAAGACAAGCTGGTGTAAATGTAAACAAACTGAATCTGGAGTTCACGTCTGCTGTCTGCCAGCAGCCGTGGAGGTGAGTGACGAAAAGCTGACAGGAAAACCAATCCACATTGGTTGTAACATCAGGGTAATGAAATGTTCAGTTAAACAAAGTGAAAAAGGTTAATAAACATGTAAAATTATGCAAATGTGAAGATTACAAAAGGACAGGTAATTATTGACAAATCAAATGCCATTTTCAGAGTGCAGCAAGTTCAAAATCAGAGCCAACAAACTGGATTTCCTAAACTTTAAGAGGAAGGAAGAGTAGAGGAACACTGAGATTTTTGCAATACTGCATAATTTTTAGCATTTCTTTTTGCTTGTGTATTTTGAAATTAGTTGTTTTCAATAAAACCAGAATAATAATAATAAAAAAAGCACATTTATCTGCTTCCACCTTTGGCTTGTTTGGCAGATTGAATAATTTAAAATTGTATTTTTTTAAAACCATGACATGGAAAACTGTATGATAGAATTGTATGCTTTTAAAATTCCATGTAAAATATGTATAGAAAGAATAACATAACAATAATCATATTCTTTTTGGGTAGGAACTATTTTGACTTCAGTTGAATGTGACGAGTCACTGTATTCAATAATATTATGGTCCTTGTAGTAAAGTGACTTTGACTCTACTGAGCAGCACAATCACCTTGTGTTTGTTACTTGACCTCCAGTGTGTACTTCTGTCTGCGCCACCACCACCTCTTCCTCAGCCAAAGTGGGCGGGCGTAACTCGCATGTGCTTTTCGTCATTGGTGCATAAACAGAGGGTCGCTTTGTTTATGGGCGTTTAAACCTACCACCGTTTATAACCGCCGGTGTCAGCCGCCCACAGACGCAGTGGACGGACACTGAAGTCTGTTGTTATTTGCTGTAAAACCGTTCGTCCTGTCTGCAGGTGAGTCCCTAACTGCTGCAACAGTTATTTAAAAACGTAGTTCCGGTATCAAGTGCTGATTGGCCAAAGACGGCGCTCGGCTATATTTTTTATATGTGCCTTAGTTATAAAAATAAAAAAATAAAAAAAGTGGCGTCCGCATAACGATAACAGCAACAACAGTAGACCTCGGAAAAGTAGTGCAGAAACGAAACAACAATGTCCGAGCGGAAGAATACTTAATTTCCTCAAAATAAATCAGCGCTATTGATATAGTCGCTGACTTATGTATAAATGCGCGTAATACGACATTTATAGAGACTTAAATGCTTATAGCGAGATATTGTTATTGAATAACTGCTCCAATATAAGATGACATTACACTGCGCTACTACAGTGTAAGAAGCGAATGCGGAAGAAAATAAAATCAGAAGTTCTTACGTGTTCATCTATGCAAACCGTGTTTCTAAACAAAACAAACTATTCATGACTATCTGCTGTGTGGGCCGGTCCCGACATGTCAGACTTTATAAGCAGAACCACCCCACCCTAACGAGGAAAAACACTGATAGTTAAAGGTGTACAAGTGTGAAACAAGGATAAAGGTATTTAATATCTTACTTTTTTAAACGCAGAAATAGACAGTTATTATATTTTAAAATGCTTTTATCAGCGCACACCCTGTGCGGTGTGGTTGTTGTGGTGCAGCCATGTTGGACCACTATGTTTCTCATAGTTCGTATAGGAAGTGTAAAGAGAGAGATATTTCATCACAACATGTGGCTCAGTATAAGACGAACTTAACTGCCATATCGGTAAGAAATTTATAAGTACTTTTAATGTAATTTTGCATGCACCTGCTACAAACCTTAGAATATAATAAGCTTTTGCTGTATAGTTGTTTGTTTGTTTGTGCGTCCCTTTTTTGCAGATTTAAAAACGCAGCAGTTTTAACTTAAGGTTTATGAACGCAGTGTGTAATTACACATCCCAATAAACTGACATTTATGAAGTTTTTCACAATCGTTTCCATAAGAACAAATATTACTTTTTAGCTTCCCAGAGTAGCAGTTGCTACACACTCCAGGACTCGCTTTACGCCTCAGGTGAAACTGAGCGATTGCAACCCAGTGGGTCTATTGCCAAATGATAGGTATTTTTACACTGACATATGTTGACCACTTGGTAAAGAAGTCGAATGGGTGCAGTACGAGCAGACGGGTCATGGGTTGTACATACATATACATGCAATAAGTGTGTTGTTCTCTCACGGTTCAGGGATGGCACTTTCCTCCATCAAATCCTTCACGGTGGAGCTGGACGGTCCAGCGGACACAGCGTTTGTTGGAGGAGAAATCGTGTCTGGCCAGGTGGTCCTGGAGCTCTGCAGGGACACCCGTGTGGTCTCCATGAAGGTGCAGGGCAGAGGGGTGGCTACTGCACACTGGCTGGAGAACCGTGGCATGAACTCCGTCTACAACGACTACACGTCCAAGGTCACCTACTTTAGAAAAAGACAGCATCTAATCAGAGGTCAGTGGTGAAGGCTGCAGATGTGCTCTGCACAGCGTATGGTTAATGTACACTAAAACATGTTGTGTTTATTTAAGTCAAACCACAGACCATTATGAATGCCACACAAACATTCCAAATCCAAACATTTTGTTGTGTCTTTCTTTTTCTAATTTCTATAATACTATCCTTTTTTTTTTACATTTAAGGAATCCAGTTCTATGTCTGTGTTTTGCAAACGTTGCTCAAATTGTAGAGTTCATGATGGGTCATCAGGTTCAGCTTGGGCTGAAGTGACTGGAGTAGCACTTGTCCCGAAATGGCTGGTGATAAAGCTGGCTATTAGTATTTCCATTCCAAGTATGAAGGTGTCATCTCAACCAACTTTCTATGCATAAGTATAAGGCACAGTTTTCCAGTGACAGTAAATATTATTTTTTATTTTTTTGCCTCTTCTCTGTGTAGCCCCAACACTTCCTCTAACTAATCTGTGTCAAACTGCTACTGTGTTCTGTCACGTGCCAGCTGGGAGCTTCTGTGACTTGTCATTACAGCACTTTGAAAAATAAAGCCAGCTGGTCCGAGTGTGTTGCATGAAAACGTAGCAGAAGAGCAGGAAGACACATACATGTCAACATTAAACACAAACCATTAATGCTGAGGTCAAATAATTACAAACTGATTTCCGCAGCACTGTGTAACTTCTCTGGTTAGCAACAGTGCAGGCAGGAAACAAACAAATAGACAGAAGTGGCTCAGTAGAAATGGCTTCAGTGGTTACTGTTTAATTACATGGCCTCTAAACATTATATGTCATCTGTCCTTTGAGTCTGGTCAGACCTTACATTTGAATGGACACAAAAATGAGTCTCACACAAGAGCTAATATTCTGTTTGTTGTACTCGAAGCAGGTAGTGCGTTGAAAGCATGCGAATTCAAAGTTAATTTATTACTGTGTGACATCTTCTGCTGCAACAGCTGCTGCAACAGCTGCATCCAGTTTGGATGTGGGTCAAAGGTGTACCAGGGAGGGTTTTATTTATGCTAAATCATACTCTGTGACCACAGCAACACATCACCCATTAACTCCGATGCTGTACCTAAGAAACACACTTTACTTACTGTTTAACTATATGTTTGTCTTCTACTCATCTACTCAGTTATTAAAATCAGCACCCCATTTTGACCACACATTTTACACATTTCACAAACATTCACATTTTCTACCATATTAAATTGATGATTAAGGAATGGGAAAAAAGTAAACAGTGTTATTTGTTATTTGTTTATTCTTTTTCACAAATGTATTTTGTAGCTGCAAATTACCTTGCAGCTACTACTTACGTCATCTGCTGCAAATTACCTTGCAGCTACTACTTTAAAAATAAAAAAATACTCCCTGCAACTTTGTTTTACTGAAACATACACAGACTGAGATTTTGTTTAAAATAGCTTCAAATTATTATTTTTTCAGCAGAAAGTAGCCAAAAAACAATATTATAATAACTTATTATTTTTTAATAACTGTGCAATAAGCCATTTTTTTATTTACAAGAGTTGTCTTGCCTTCTGCAGACAGCCAGATGTGTGCATCACCATATTATCTCTTATCCTAATACTAGAAGGTGAGACATTGACTCAATGACACTGTGTTGAATTTGAATATTGAAACACTTCAGGGAAATGTTTACAGAGAGCATATACCTTCTAAAAACAACTAGTGAATGGACAGTCTGATTATACCCAGGGCTACATCTATTTTCTGTATATGCTCTGTGATTGAAATAGGTCATTTAAGACTGCTGCTGTCACATGTGTTTGTATTCAGTATTCAGCGTTATGTCATATTTACAGTCATATGACTCGTATGCACTTTTAGAACCGTTATGTCATATTTACAGTCATATGACCTACTTTTAGAAGGTTGATCAGGGTCAATCAGGACAAGGAAATTTGTTGCTCTTGGTCACCACCAGGTGGCACACTGAGCTTGATTATTAAAGCTCTTGATTAAACTTGGACATACATAAAGCAAAGACCTGCGTAGATTCCAATATTTATGGATCCGTCAAAGAACATAAACATTTTATTTTGTTTTATTTTAAAGAATCCAGCAAAACATAATCCTTAACCTAATTTATAACTCCTGTCACATGAACAGGCACATTTAATGTATGGATCCATAGCCAGACAACTGTGGGTGCTTTCTTCTCATCACCAGCTGGCGGCGGTAGTTAGCTATCTCTTGATCTGTGGGAACAAAGGAGTAAACAACTTTGTTTTTCACAGAGCAGTCTTGACTTCTGGATTGATACATTGCAATTGGGATAAAGAAAGTAATTCAGTAGTTTGGTTTTAGCACTTAGAATGTGAGATGAGTGCGTTGAGAGATTTTTTAAGCTTTTTTTAAGATTTTGTTAAAAGGTAAAATGAAGGCAATCAACGGATGCAATGATTGACACAAGGGACTCAGTTGATGCTCAAAGTATGATTACGCTGTGACTTAGAGATACACTCCTGTCTATGTGTCGTTGTTGTTAATTCAGTGCACAGTTAATTCAAGCTGATCTGTTAGCTTTGATGCACAGCTTTGTGTTTCCCACATGCACGGCGACCCAGGCAATGTAACATTACACTCAAGAAGTGGAGTAAACAGCTCCAGAGTAAAACTATTTTTTTCTTAGCTGTGCAGGGAGGACCTCTGAGGCATGCTCAGTAGGGCTGTTTTCTTCTAAGAACCTGTAACCATCAATCATCATCAGCCCTGCCTGTTTTGCTCCCGTTCCCTCCACACCCAGTCTGCATGTTTGTTATGATGCCTTCAAGCTCGGTCTGGAAATATGTGTGCCCTTAGATGAGCTGTAGCTTAGTATGTCAGAGTTCAGGTAGGTAAACATAATAAAAGAGGGGGTGTTTTTTCTTTATAAAGCTTGAGTTGTCATCCCTCAGTCACGAGAGGTAGTCATAAGTCAATTTTGTTTCGGTTTTGGATTCAGAATGAGAGTTTCAAGGGTAGGCTATCTCACAGGTTTATCGGTGTGGCTTTTTTCCAGAAAAAACTCTGAATTGCAATCAGTGAAAGTAACAGGGTGTATACACTTCTAAAAGTCAAGCTTTGAATGGATGGCCACACTGTCAGAAACATGCCGTCTTCCTGCTACCCTCCATCTCATCCTGACTGACTAGTCTGACATCATTTAGCCCAAAGACAGGTGATTAAGATCACTTTAAGAATCCAGTAAAAACAGCCTTAGTTTTCCAATGAAGCCTTACTTTTCTATTCAGATCATTTTGACATTTGTAATAATTATAAGCCAATGGTCAGCCAGATAAGTACAATTTTTTTACAAATTGTAGAACCGAAATATAGGTAACAAGTTGTTGTTTTCTGATAAAATAGTTTGAAATGCCTTTATCCGTATGTTAAACTTGAAAAAAGTTCTTTTACCACTTGGAAATTTAAACATACTCTAGTTCAAATGTTTACTTTCACTTTAAACTGCAACTTAATATTAATTAAAAAACAATAATAATGACTGATTTTAAAGCCCATAGTCGCGATAATTCCAGTAGAGTGGAATAATCCGAGTCAGGAATAGAACCCTGAAGGCACCACCAATCCCTCTTGAGGTCTGACATAATAATGTTTGGAGGCCACGCCCACCGAAAAAAGCTACAGAAAAGGGACCGCAGACAGATGGAGCTCAGCACTGAGCTTATATCCAGACAACTGGAAACATCTGCGGCCTTACAGGAGACTAACTGCTGCACGCACACTTTCTACGTACTGTCAGACCCTAAAGAGGATTTCTGCAGGGATATACAACCTACCAGGAAAAAAAATGATTTTTGACAAGGTAAAAAAGTTTGTCATCGTCTTTGACTCCCCGGAGTTGGACTGTCCTCCCGTGTTCAGCAGCGGGGACATCGTGTCCGGCCGGGTGTTGCTGGAGCTCGGCGGGGAGACCAAAGTGGACTCCCTCAAACTCCACGCTGAAGGTTTCGCCAAAGTTCACTGGACCGAGTCTCGATCCGCCGGCTCCAGCACCGCGTACACGCAGAACTACAGCGATGAAGTGGAATACCTGAACCGGAGAGATGTGCTGCTGCAGGCAGGTCAGTGCCGGAACCGAGATGTCGCCTGGTCCACATGCCCTTTAACTGCACGTCCTGTTCTGTGGGACGTCGACTGTATAAGACTAGTCATTTCATTCATTTCCATCCAATGGAAGACCAGAGAGGGTGATGTGTTTGTGAGAGGAAACTAGACCCCGTCGAATGTTGTCTGCGTGGTTTATTATTACTGCAAACAGAGGAGACCCCGTCGAATGTTGTCTGCGTGGTATATTATTACTGCAAACACAGAGGTTTTTTTTTCTTATTTGTGTCCATTCACTCCAGACCTTTAGTCAAGCAGTGGACGTCTGTCCAAGTGTCACGAAAACAAGAACGAGAGTCTCAAGTTTGTGCAGCGCGTTACAAACCTGGATAAATGCTCTATTACGGGTTATTATGGATGAAACAACAAAACTCAAGACAAAATGCGAATTATTTGATTCATCAGCGGCACAAAAAAAGTCATTTATTACAAAGAAACTCAAGACAAAATGCGAATTATTTGATCCATAAGGGGCACACAAAAAAAAGTCATTTATTACAAAGACGAAAGCTTCGCAATGAATTGTGATCAGTACTTTCCCCCTTTGAGCAACGCTGCACATGCAGCTTTAGAAAAAAAAAACACATCCAGCCGTTAAGTCGCTACAACATTTTCTGGTCTCTTCTTTTTGTTATGTTTGTCGTATGACAAGTTCCATACAGTATTTGTGTTTAAATGCACAGTAGTAGTGAAGGGAAAGCGAATGCACGCTGCAGCAGCAGTCTGCACACGCCTTTGTTTCTGCAAAAACATCTGCTGAAAAGAACTAGTCATGATGTCAGAGACTTCCTGGTCTGAAGAGAAAAAAAAATCATGGGTTGTTTTTCTCGACTCAAGTGGGGAGAGCCTCGGGCTTCTGCCTCCATTCATTGGACCAGACTTGTTTTGGCTTTTCAGTGAGTGGCCAAGGAAACTTAAAGGAGTTTTATGGTGATTTTTTTTATTTTTTTTGTAGTTGTTGCTGCTGCTCGGGTCAGTTCTCCTTTTAAAACCCAGCATTCCATCGGCAATGTAAAGACCAGACTTAAATAGTAAATGATTCTGGGAATGATCTTGGAAACTCCCAGTTGACTCACTGAAGTGGACGGGCCTGTGATAGAACTGTTATTAAATAAAATGGCAGCGAGCACAGGGCTGAAAAAGTCTGCAAAACACATTAGAAATGCCCCTGGACTCTGTTTGTGCAGCACAAGAGTGAAAAACAGAGACGCTGAGACGTGCCGTTTGATACCACTGGAGGAAAAACATGTTCTCACTCAGCACAATGCAGCAAGAACCGCCCCTGTGAGCAGCACAGAGCAAAGGCCATGTGATTGCACAGAAAGACAGTTTTTCCTCTTTCAGCAAAAAGCTCTGTGCTTCCAGGATGTGATCAGAGTCCCTCTCTGAGTTGAATTAATTTGGACATGTTTGTTTTTGTTTTCAGTTCAGTTACTTCAGTATTTTGTGGGTTTATTACTCTGTTTCCAGAAAAAAAAAACATACATCAAACAAAACAAATGGGTTAAATATGTTTCTTTTTTTTTCTTTTGTTGTCTCCTCAGATAACGGAGAAGTCACCGTCCTTCCTGCAGGCAGACACGAGTTTCCCTTCAGCTTCCAGCTGCCCGAAGAGACACTGGTCACCTCCTTTGAGGGGAAACACGGCAGCATCCGTTATTGGGTCAAAGTGAAGCTCCACAGACCCTGGGCCACAGTCAGGAAACTCAAGAAGGAGTTCACAGTCATCGAGCCCATCGACATCAACACTCCAGCTCTACTGGTGAGGCTGCTGTTCCATCAATGTTTCATCTCCGCCCGCTCGGTTTTCTGCTCAGTTCAGGGCACCCGCTCACTGGCTCTTATCTTTCACAGGCGCCACAGGCTGGAACAAAGGACAAAATGGCCCAAGCATGGTACCGCAACTTCGGACAGGTGTCGGTAACAGCGAAAATCGACCGCAAGGGTTACACACCTGGTAAGAGTCTGAAGCCTCAAACCACAGCCTGTTTCTGTGAGTGCTTTGAGCATTTCTCCAGTTTCCAACATACACTTTTCCTCTGTCGCAGGCGAGGTGATACCTGTTTTTGCGGAGTTCGACAATTCTACCTCTAGATCTATCGTGCCCAGAGCCTACATCACGCAGACGCAGACCTTCATCGCTCGCGGCACAATTAAACAGAAGCGCTCTGTGGTAGCCACCCTGTGTGGTGACATTGTAGGAGCCAGACGCCGGGAGACCTGGCATGGCCGTGCCATCAAGATCCCACCTGTGGGGCCCTCTATCCTCCAGTGTCGCATCATCAAAGTAGAGTACATGCTCAAGGTGAAGAATACTTCGCAAACGATTCAAATCCTATTAGCCACACTCCTCTCTCTCTGTGCATATATCTGAACCGAGGTTTTTCTAATTTTAGGTCTGTGTTGACGTTCCTGGAACATCAAAGCTGAATCTGGAGCTGCCGCTGGTCATAGGAACCATCCCGCTCCACCCGTTTGGCAGCAGGACGTCCAGTGTCAGCAGCCAGTACAGCGTCAACCTGGAGTGGCTGCGTATGGCCATCCCTGAGCAGCCTGAGCGTAAGTGTCCTCCAAACATTCCTCTGAAAACAACTACGGCCTTTTCAAAGTCTTAGCAAGTTTAGTTTATTTATCATTTTAGTTAAACTTTGACCTTTCAAATGGCTGAAGTGACCAGCACCAGCCATTTTTCCCCGCTTTGTTTTTATAATCACTGTATTTGGGGCATCTGACCCACTAAACGTGTCCAAACAAAGAGCGGGCCTGGTGTAGCCGAGAGGTTGGGATTCAAACCAGGTGGAGGTTTAGAGGAACAGGCAGCACATGCTGATGGGTTCTCAGCAGTGACTCCTGACTCAGCAGCTTGTTGTTCTGACCTGTGCTGCTGTGTTGAGTCACAGCAGTAAAATAATCCTGCCTCTTTCTCTGCAGCTCCTCCAGATTACAGCTCTGTGGTGACGGAGGAGGAGGCCGAGCAGTGCAACAACAACAACGCCGTGGCCCCGCAGCCGGCCGACGACCTCAGTGGAATCCTGGAGCGCCCCCTCATGGCTTTCGTCCAAGAGTTTCGCTTCCGGCCTCCGCCCGTGTACAGCGAGGTGAGTCGGCGAACGCTTGGAACCAACTTCCAGTTCTACTGATGCTGGAATTGTTTCATGAATGAAGTCTAACCTACGTTTGTTTTCCTCCGCCTACAGATTGACCCCAACCCTCAGCCCCTCAACATGAGACCTCGCTGCATGACATGTTGAACCAAACGCCTCGTCTTGGAGTCAAGCGACTTAAAATTAACCTAATGAATCAAGAGATGTGTCTTCTCCCAGATTATTTCTCTCTGATAAATGGCACTGGGCCCTAACAAGTGTTAGGGAGAGGGACGAGAGCCCCCACCCCCCAGAGAGGTCATGAGAGGAGAAGCCCTAAGGAACTGAGTGTCCAAGGAGAAGCTGCCGCTTCATTTCAAGTCCATGCAGAAAACTGGACGCTTTCCAATTCTTCTCAAGGGAAAATGAACTTCTCTGCACCAGTTCCTGTTCTTCCCAAGTGATTTCTTCTGTGCTCCAAAGAATGAGAGCCACGAGTACCTCCCAATCATCGGTTCCCTCATGAGATTTTTTTTTTAAAGAGATTTTTCAGATTTTACTGAGTTTGGGACATCTTTGGGGGGGAAATGATCACTTGTGTTTGTCATGATGAGGTGGAAAGTTGGAGCTGCAGTTTGGTGTTTGAACAACGATCGCTCTTGATGAGTTGACATTTGTCTGAAGGCACATTGTCAACTTGGAATGGCGTAAAAAAAAGAAGTGCAATTATTTCTGTAATTCCCACTTCCCTTTGAACAACCTACTTTGCTATGCATTGTGTGACTCGACACCGGCGTGCCTTTGTAGATTCCTACCGTTACTTAAGCCACATACTGTACCTGTAAAAGTGTGAAGGTCAACTAGGCAGATGTGTTTATGCATGAAAAGATAAAACAGTATGCTAAAGGGAAAAAAAACAAAACATCTTTGCCTCAATGACGTGCAGCAGAGGCGTGCGTGAGAGCTGAGGAGAGTCGCTCTCGTAGAGATGAATTGTAACTTAAAAGAACAAGAAACGTTTGTATGAGTGTCTGCGACGAGTTTAAGGAGACGTGTTGTTGATGTTGAGCCCGTGGTGCTGACGCGTCAGGTGGCTGTGGTTGGTGCTCTACAGCACAGTTGAACCAAAAATAGGAGAAACAGTTTGTGTATAAACCTGCACAAGGCTCAGATCTGCTCCCTCGGCTGCTAAACAAAAAGGAGGAGACGGAGAGACCTCGGAGCCGCGAGGTCTGGAGCTTTTGATGGGAGCCAGATGCCTCGAGGGTTGCGGTGCTTTGTGATGCTCATCCAGAGCACAATGCTCAGGGTTCGAGTGAAGCCTTAAGCTAGAGATGCCACTGAAGTGCACAGACTAAGAACATTCCAAAAAAGAGTTTAAAAAAAAAAAAAAACGAACCAGAGGACTGTGTTTTCTCCTCACCTTCCAAAAAAAACTGGTCTTCAGGGTCAGCTGTGCCACTTCCAAGGCACGCACTGAATAAAAGTGAATGTATTTTTATACCAATACGACTGTTGATTTATAATCCTGCCAAAGTTTTGTAACTTTTTTTCTAATAAAAACCTTGAATGGATGCCTGTGTGCAGTGTTTTCTCTCTAACCTCCACTGGTATGTAAGCTGGGAACTTTGGTAGGAAAACACCAGAGCTCTGATGATGACATGTTGCATGCCAGCGCAGGAGAAGTACATCACGTTCAAGAGAGTGAGTCAAAACTATAAAACTGTCAAGGACGAGGTTCACTGAGGAAACAAGCTCCACTTGTTTGAGTAAACAATAATCACAGACGAGGCTTCCGCCCGTCAGTGATGTTGTTGCGTCGCCTGTCCTGGTGTTTGGAGCGTCTCTGTTGCTCCACATTAAAGGAGGGCAGTGATAACAAGGCAGCACACGAGACCAATCATTTACTATTGTGTCTTTCACACAAACTCAAGGAGAGTGAACTACTTGTCATCACTGCACACAACCAAATGTGACCTCTGTTTTTAACCCATCACCAAAGTCAACAGTGGGCAGCAGTGTGTGGGGACGGTGCCTTGCTCAGTGGTAACTTGGCAGCTGGGGGACTCAAACCTGAAGCTTCCTTAACCACTAAGCCACTACTGCCCTCAACAACAGAAGTCACCGAAATGACACTGTAAATCAAATACAGTACAATTTTCTACTGAAATACAAGATTTTTTGAGTCTCGTGACTGAATCGGTAAAAAAAAAAAGAGGCAAAAATGTAATTGTTCTTAAGTGGGACGTTCTCAACCCAACAATAAGTGTGTTTAACAGTGCGTGTCCAGATCACTATGAAAAAAAAAGAAGAAAAAAGTCAGGATCAGATAAAGTCAATCATTTCAGTGCTGTTGACAGACAGGAAGACAAATGTCTGTGACTTAAAAGAACTGAAGCTGCGTTTCATGATTGATTTTTACAAAAGGTGAAAAAGTCATTAAAGGAAACTCTACGTTTGACTCTGAAACTGACTGTAGTTCTTTTCTTTGTGAAAAAGTCATTAAAGGAAACTCTACGTTTGACTCTGAAACCTCAGTGGTGAAAACAGAACAACTTTATTCAGCATTCTAAATGAATGAAATTCAAGTCAAACAGAATTCACCTAAAATTTCCCCTTCTCCCGTGAGAGAACATTTAAAAGGCAGACGTCTGTCCAGTCCTCAGACCTGTACTGGTGTGAATGTACAGTCAGTCTGATGACACGGTGCATCAGCAGCACAGATCTATTGTAAAGCTCCAGGTCGGAACCTGTTGTTTGATGAACTTGTGATGAAACAAGTGAGCAAGACATTTACAAGTCAACAAATCTGCACCTTTTCTGTTTCACACGCGACACAGCTTTTACGTTGTCCAAAGGAATGACTCAGACATACTTTACCTACATTCAGCTCGTGCCTCAGGCCGACTTTTGGCCCAGATCTCTGGCAGATCTGAAGTGAATGCGCACAACAAAAGGAAAGCAAAGAGATAATTTTACCCAAGACTCAACCATTAGAAAATGTTTGACTCTGTGAACTGCAGAAAAACAGGGCAGCGGTAAAGAAACCAGAGGAAAACTAAGAAGGCAGCGTTGGTGGTCCAACTCATGGATAAAGTCTCGTTTTACGTTTTTATTTTTCACTTCTTTCCTCCGACTGTTTCAATCTCAATGTTGCTGTTCATGATCCAATGACTCACAAAATGCCTCTGTATAAAACACAAGAGAATAAGACTTAACAACAACAGCTACACAAATGATAATAACAATAATAATAATAATAATAATAATAATAATATAATGAATTTCAGACAACAATAAGAAATGTAACTCCAGCCAGACGTCTCAAAGTTCTGACCATACACCATGGTGTTTTTTCGCTCTTTACACCACATGTGATGGATGTCAAAGATGTCAAGTGTGTGACGTCGTAACTTCACACAATGGATCAAACAGCAAAGAAAAGAAAAAAACATGTTAAAACACTGTGTACCCCCCCTCCCCACAGTAAACTGTCCTCCTTAATCCAGTGAAACTCAAACAGGTTGAACGAACGACTTGGACATGAAAACACACACGTTCTCGTGTCCACTACTCACAAAAACAGGATTTAGGCAGAAGAGGATATTGCTGACTCGTCACAGTGTTTCATCAGTGCTGCATATTTCACCAGATGGCATCACCCGCTGTGGTTCGATGACATCACTGATGACTCATGTTTCATGCCTGCACAGCAACATGTCAAACAATCACGTCCCGTAAAAAAATGTATCTTTGGACACGAAAGTCTGACAAAACAAAGGACATCAACAGTCTTTGTCCATTTCCATTTTAGTTTGATAGAATTTTCTAAAAACATTTTAGAAAAACTAAATAAAATATATATATAAGAAATATCAGAAACTAGGGGAAAATATCTGGTTGAATCTTGGTTATTCTTTTAACTTTAAATGGACAGAACTTTAGAGATTTCACAGTAAAAAAAGTTTTTATTAATAACATGATCAGTAAAATGTCTACAGTGGTAGGACTGAGAAAAGATCCGTTTGCTGTTTGTTTCCTACTTCCTGTGTTTGACAGACTTGTCCAGACATGTCTGAACCTGTTATGTTCAGTTATAACAGGCCAACAACATCAGAACTTCCGTTTCCACACATTCAAACACAGCATTTGGTCAGATATTTATCTCTTGTCATTAGGTGTTGGAGTCGTTTGAAACAAGATACATCGTAAAACTTCAGCGAATGACGCATTTGACTGAAAGGCGGTGACTGTCTTTGTGTTGACAGATTTGTTCTTGCGCAAATTAGTTTTGTCCCAGCGAAATAAAATTCTCTCTCTTCTCCGTCTAACCCCGTTCTACCTGTTTCTTAATAACTGTTCCTGTGTATTATTTTTGAAGCGCGTTCGACAGTATGTTCTTACAATACAATAATGGTTATAATAATAGTTCATTCATCAGCCAACAACATAGGTACGTACAGTATTGTAATTGTACACACACTGCACTTTGTCAAAAAATATATGAGAAAAACCGCTACACAACCATTAAGAAACCATGGCTGAAGGATAAATGCTACAAAACGCTAATGCTAGCACGCTTCGCATGTTTTACCAAACAAATCAAAACACCGTGACTTGCTAAGGTGTAAACGCCTCATGTAGCCACTGGGTTGTACTGAGAATATTCAGGGGTATTGTGTTGTGTTTGTAGGTTAACAGAACAAATCTTACAGTTTTAAGTTTGACTCCTATTTTTGTCCCTGATGTTAAAATACCTCCAAACTGTTGAACAACTCAAATAAACTGATCACAAGGTCAACGAAACACTGAACTGCAGCAGTGAAGTAGATGTGGTGAAAAGCAGATACAGTGTATCAGGCCCTCGTGTTCCTTATTCTAACATGTGAGAATGTGAGGTTCATACAAGCAGCGGTGGAGATTGTTGATCTGTCAAAAAGAGGAAGCTCATTTAGGGCCACAGTTTGGTAACATCATTATTATTCTCTCTGCAATAAAAACCCAAAAACTGTACCAATGAACAAGAAAACAACAATCTGCACAACAATCATTGATCAATATAACCATTTTAAGCTGAGCCTCAACAGTGTTTCATACAGGATTGTATACAGAAAACTGCCGATTCTGAATGGACAGAAACACAAAACAGTAAATACTTTTTGACATTTCAGATAAATCTGAGCTTCCCAGCAATCACCACCAGTCTGCAGACTTTTCAGGAAAAAATCCAGTCCAAAATGTATCATCTGTTTTTCCTAGAACAGACTGAAGACTCTGATTTCCTTTGAGTGATTTGTTTTTTTGTTTTTTTTTTCTAGTACTGTTTTTACCACATATCAATAAGATAAGGACATCCAGTATACGGCGGTCAGAGAAGCTGAAAATATGATCCACTGTCCCTTCATTGCCCGACACTGTAGTCTGGGTTGGAACTGCCATCTTATGTAATTGGGGTCGGGGATCATCTTGCAGGACCCCTCCCTCTTTACGCCTTCATGGAAATCAGTGTAACATTAGAGGGAGCTCTGAGACAACCCGCCCACCCCTGCCCCCAGGAAGGTTCTAGAAAACAGCATGTCCGGACATACAACATCCACTCTGCGTGCTAAAAGAGCATCTTTGTCCGTGCCCGCTCCTCCCATTCCTCTTGTAATTCAGGGTTTCACAAAATCTCTGTGTGGACCTTGTGCTCCTGTTATCATCCCCTCTTTGTTTCAGGCCTGTGCAGCGCTCTTTGTCTGCCGTCAATGGTCCTCAGTACAATAAAGGCCCCAAAATCCTCAGCATGATGAATTTTTGACAAACCCAAAGTAATCACTGCTGCCTTCAGGCTCCATCGCCACATGTTACAGCTCATCAGATCATACCTTATCAGATCTAAACAAAAATAGCACCGACTTAAGACTCTGCAGTAAACACCTGGACCTGCCGCCATCTTAGGAATTAACGCCAAGGAATATTATAGGTTTGCATTACTGCGGTAAAAATACATAAGCCATGGAAAATAACATCAACGATAACTTCATGCATTCATGTCCGTCAATGATTATGCCTCACTTTGAAACACAAGCAAACATGTACCATCATGTATCTTTAGCTCTAGGCAAGTCGTGATTATGGTTTACTCATGTATAATGCATGACTCCAAGCCATATGCAAACTGTATCTTTCACATGTGTTGGTGCACGTGGCCGGGGTGTTTGGTTGGGACTGCTGGCAGCGCGCCAGTGGGGAGAAACGCTCTGCTCCATAATGGGACAAAACTAGAGGCCGAGCAGGAATTCTTGGAATGAGTACAAGATTAGCACATACTGTTACTCTCCTTGAGCGACAGGAGAAAAACAACGGCAGCAGCAGCAGTAAGCTGATGAGAGCGTAGAGTTATGACTTGAATGTGTTGGCCAACCAGGAAAAAGGTACAGTGTGTTCCCTTCAATGCAAAACATTTCAGTCACATATACTTGGTGCAGGCTGACAGGACTGGATTACACTGAGATGACAGAGCACAGTGACTTCTTCTGTGGGTTTTTTTTTTTTTGGGTGGGGGGGCATAGTTTTCCATTGAACAACAGAT